GCCATAATCTCATACAGTATGCTTTTGAACAGACCTTGCTGACGATGTACATGTGTTATTTCAATTCCTAAACATTAGATTTATAAGGAATATAATTTCTAGTCAACCCCTTCGATCCAAAGAAGTAGGAGTTTCCTTTTTATACAAATTGAAACCTTTAATCCAAACCTGGGGCAGGGTAGTCTCTCAGTTAATTCAAATGCGTGTTAAGTAGCAAGCTTTCACTTCATACACAATGTATGACACCAAAAACATCCTTCTGAATCCGAAGACGGTGATGGTTCCTTATCAAATAGGCAGTCATTATCCCTCAAAAGAAAAACCCACTAAGTCAAAACCTATGAAAGACACTTAAGAAAACAGGGGGCCTCCCGTTGACTATAATCTCAAAACAAGAACAGTCAAGCAAAAATTAGGGATAACAAATAACAAAAGAGGTCACTACAAATCCTCAACAACATGAAAAATGTTGCAAAAATGACTGCCTTCCAACAAACTTAACTTGTCTGAACCATCACCAAAATGTCATTCCAGACTCAACTGGAGTTCAAATGCACAATTAACCGAGTTTAGGACGGGAGAACATCATGAAGAACGGGTGGGTACAAATACACTTTGAGCCTTATCCTTTATTTCTTAAACCGTGAACCAAGCCACTCTACAACCCTTCAAAAATCTTAATTAAAGTATGGATTAGTTCAAAAGCATATTGTTACAAAAGGTATCCTGACTCCTGTAAGGCTTTACTCTAAAATCCTGAGTTGAATTTACATTCTTATAAAAATTATTTTATCTGCTAAAACACATTTTCAAAACTTCAAGACAAGCATAAACTTTGCATTACTTTGAATATCGTTGTTTGCATATAGCTAATTGTTTAACAGCGGAGAAATTCACACGATGAATTTCCAGCGAACAAAAACTCTCTCAGTGAACAAAATCACTTCAGATGGGATGACGCTTCCAAATATCCCATAAGCAAGGGGGCATGACATGTCACTGTCCAACTCATCTGGGGGCAGTTAAGTCGAGATTCCAAGAAATCTCTCAAGAAATATTGAATATACCAGGGGAAGAATTGCATTTGAGTCATTTGGGACATTGAACATGAATTCCTGCAAAGGGTTACGTACAACCAAGCAAACATTTTTTGGCAGTACTACAACACCTACCACTAGGGGCATTGACAAATCTCCCACATAGGATGATCTTCATAAAGTTGGATCCAAGCAATCCCCTACTAGAGCTTCAATCTCTAAAAACTTCTCCCCAACTGAGTTTATCTCAAGAATCCTCGAGGAGTTCTGCTTAAGGAAAACACATCTCCAGCAGATTTGGCAACAAGGTTTATTTCCCCAACAAACTATAGGTTCCCCAGTTTGAGTTTGTCTTTCAGACTACTACAAATCAAGGGACCACGACCCTCTTCCGCAGTAGAATTTTCTACAATCCCCAGTGAGTTGCTGCAAAGCCTGGGAGACAACCAGATAACAGTTAACTTCTTTATCCCCGACAAGTTGTTAATTTCCTTTCTCTTCCATCCAGAGATAATTCCCCAGTAGAGCAACAAACAACTAAGACTCTTGAACTCCTTTCCCCAAGCAGGAATCAACACTCTCCATAGAGTTTCCCTAAAAAAAATTCAATATTACCCAACATAGTTCTCCTCAAACAACAAAACAGGAATCCCCAGCAGAAACATTCTAAAACAAGGTCTAAAGGTGTGCATACTCTTCATCCCTGTAACACGGTGGGAGAACTGACTTGGGTGTTTTTGCGTTTGATCGAAATTGTTGCAGATAGCAAGAGTCGTCACCGACTTTTCTTTTATCCAATAAGGAAAGGTTGAAAAGAACATGAAAGACCTTTCAAGATTATTTCTTGAGCTCGGGGGGTAGGTTATGAGAAGGGAAGGTATTAGCACCCTTTTCATCCGTAGTTATCTACGGGCTCTTAGTGGCTTTCTAGATCACTTGCTTTTGTTTTGAAAATGTGCTTATGGTGTGGATTTTGAAAGTATTTTGAAAATTTCTTTGTAATGGATCTCCTTTCTATAAGAACGCATAAAAAAGATTTGTCTTTTGAAAATGTTTCAAATGAAAGTGTTGGTGTATAAAATTTTTTTGTTGTGAGCAAGCGAGAAACTAGGATCATCCTACCTACTCAAGAGGTCTTACTGTTCTTTTCCTCCTCCTTTAGATGTTGCTATCTTACCATTGATTTGGTAAGAAGCCCTATCATTGGATGTGAAGGGACGAATGTGGGACGTTTGTATAGTCATAGAAGGCAACCTATGAGACGTTTTAGCAATTTTCGTTTAGGGACTTGATCGTTTACCAAAGGCATCATTAAGGGTCATCGAGGGACTACGATCTTTTATCGAGGGACTTTGCTAAAACACCCATATTCGAGGGACATGACTATTTTTCCGAGGCAACAAGTGAGATTACCCTAAGGGTGCATGTGTGTATAGTGTGTTTGATTGCATGCATTTTTTTCGTTTATTTTTTAGGTTTTCTACTTGTTCGTTTTTATCTTTCCATACATCCTAATTACTAACATTTGTACAAAAGCAAAAAAAATGAAAAAATAAATCCTACACTATTACAACCATATTGAAATAGCAAGAAAATATAAAGACAAAATAAAAATAAAAAGAAGAAAAATGAGCTCTATCGATTCAGGCAGAATAATACTTCGATTCTGCACTTTTTGATTTCTTTCGATTTGGGCCTTGAGTTAGCAAAGCCACGTCCTTCGATTTCACCCCTTGCTTGTACCTTTCGATTGGGAGCTGGCAGTCAACAAGGCCACCTTTCTGGATACTTCCTTCATTTGAGGCCTGGAGTCAGTGTGATGTGAATTCTATTGGCTACTTCCTTCGTTTGAGGCTTGGAGTCAGTGTGAGGTGCATTCTTTGCCCCAGGCTCCTTGCTGACTCCTTCGACTCCAAGCATGTTAGGACCTCAGGTTGAGATTCAAAAGGCTTGAGTGTCGTACCCCAAATTTGCCCTACCTCTTTTACTTTTGTCTGGCTTTGAACTTTGCATCCCATTTGCACCATTTTCACTCAGTCATTTGCATATCCCACATCTCAGGAAATCAGGTGCTTTGGTTTGAGGTATTAGGGTTGTGCCCTCTTTATGTCTAATTTTTTTTGAAGTTCTCTTATCAGGTGAGAGGGAAACTCTTCTGGTTCTCGATTAGTGGATCGTGAATGAATTTTGTCATCACGTTACAAGGTTGATTCTTGCTCGAATTTATCAGAGCCTGAATTAGGGTTTATTTCCCTATTTGTTGGTCAACAGGCTAGGGTTTTGGGTCCTTGGTTTCTATGAAGATGTTTCTTTCTCCTGCCCCAAAGATGGCTCAAAGCTCAGTGCATTAGGTTAAGAATTTCATCTCCTCTCATTTCAAGTTTTCTTCTTAAAGTCTCTAAGCCATTGAGTCGAGAGTTTGAAGTTTAAGTTGACAAATGTGGAGTTTGGGCAGAAGAAATAAGTTTGGGGACCCATGACCGTCAAGGCATGTTTTGGGTGCTTAAGTTACAAGTTACTTGTAATGTGAGTGTCAAAGTTAAAGTTTTGTTTAAGAAGTGCAAGTTTGGTTCAGGCGTGATATGAAGATTAAGGTTTAAGTGACTGTTGTTTTGGGTTCGAATTAACCAAGTGGAATTAAATTCTCAAGCATTTATTTTGTTTGAGAGTTTGATTGGATTTTGAAAGATAAGGTGCATGATTGCTTGAAATACAAGTTACAACAATTGTTCATGATTTCTTGAAGTTTAAGTTACAAAGTCAAGATGTGCATTCAAATCATTCAAGAGAGAATTTCAAAGTTCAAACAAGATTCAAGAGTTATTTGATTCTTACAACAAAGTTCATCATTAATAAATTCATTCAAGTTTGTGTTCATTACATTTTTTTGAGACAAGTTACAAGGCCTGAAATCACAAGTACAATTGCAGTTTACAAAACAAAAAAAAGAATTAAATGTTCTGCTTCCTCTTCAAGTGACTTGTCCTCACTCCTTGCCATGGATTTTTCTTCACCTTTCATCCTTGCTTTGCCTTTCCTTTTCACCTTCCATCTTGCTTGAAAAGAAAAAAAAATAAGAATTGGTTAGTTAATTGAAAGTTAATCCAGAAGTGCCAAGCAATTTTTCTTCTAAGTTCATCATAAGGGTTTGCACTCGGAATCAGAAATAAGAGGGTTTATTTTTAATCATGGGCCATTTTCTCCCAATTGCAAATCACAAAAAGTTTGTTCCTTTTTAGTTCACAAAAAAAGAGAAAGAAAAATTGAAAACATTTTCTTGTTGCTAAAGCAAAACAACCAGGCTGCCAAACTAAAGCAACACTGCTAAATAGCAGCAACAAGCAAACAAGACATGGCAGAAACATCAGCCAAATAAAGCTAAAAGCAGGCCTGTAACAAAGCAAATAGCAGCAACTAAAACCACCAGCTGCAAGCATGGCAGCAAAGCTGCAAACAAAACAACAATTGCAGGAAAAATATAGCAGCAGCCCAACGTAGCAAGACTAGCAAGTAACCCAAAATCAGCAAATGTAAAATAACAACAATTCATAAAAAAACAGCAAGCTAGCTCAAGACCCTGTCATCATTTTCCTAATGGCAAACCCTTCATATTTATTGGAATAAAAAGCAAATTAGCTTTATATCATAGAGAGAAAAAGAGAAAAAGAATAGGGTTTGGCCTTGTTGTGAACCATAAAAACTAGTCCAAAAAAACCTGTTAAAACAACCCAAACACCCTGCTTTTAAAGCAGTCATGTGCAGCCCTGCATCATAGAACAAAACTGTCCATAAACCACCACAACATCCTTGAATAAAACCATAAAAAACAGTCCAAGAAAAATCAAAACTGCAGTTGTCTAAAACTGACTAAAACCTGCATACTGCATAACCAGTCCTTATCCCTGCATAAACAACCAAAAAGACAAGCCAGGATTCTACATAATAACCCCCAAATAAAAATGTCTAAGTAGCCTTCCCTGTAAAGCCAACCCTAAACCTGTCCAAAACAAACCCAAAATAAAATCAAAATAAGATAACATAAACCTGCATCCAAAAAGCAAAAAAGTCAGCATACTACATATGTTTGAACTTGTGAAGTTTCCCCCTATTTTCCATCTCTCTGTTGTTATAAAACACACCAAAAAACTCATAGAAAAAAGGATATACTCCAATATACTCTCCCAATTCTGCTAAAAACCAGAAACAACACAAAAAACATGGAGAGTTAAAACTCTACAAAAACACAAACCTCTTCACTCTCTCAAAAACCTCTACTGTCATTACCTTTCTCCAAGCTACTGCCTTCACCGATCCATTAGCCATACACTTCACAAATCTAATAAAATTTGCACCTTGCTAACCTTTACTGCATCTGGGCTTTCAACTCAGAATATTCCAAGACCAATACTTCACCATTCAATATCCACCAAAGAGAATAGCCCAGAACCATCACAATCACACCAACCAATTCCCTATCATCACCATCATCCTAACAACAACCTTGTAACAAAAGCTTTATTTACCTGCAAAATCGCACCTGCATAGAAACAGATTCGCAAAGCATTATCATCAATCAATGGAAACCTCCAATATCTAACATAACCAAACCTGCTCTAACAACATCAACACAACAGAATAAGCTGATTCACAACATCTCAGAAGTATCATAAAAAGAAGAACACGCGAAAAACGAGAGAAGAAGATATTAAATTACCTGAGCACTGCATGTCGTCGAAGCCATGGTTTTGTCAAACTAGCTCTGACTTCGTAAGTCACCTCACTTTTTATTCGATTTCTTTATAAAATTATTTTCCTCATAGCATGCTGAACAAAACCCCTATCTCGATTGTACGAAACGCATCACCATGGTCGCTTAATTTTGTTCTGAAAAGTTAGGTTTTTTCTGGGATTTTGGTTCGATTTGTAGTTATTTTGCCGGTAATTTGAGTGTTATATCTAGAACTAGGGCAAGAAACTAAGTAGATCTTTGTCTTCAATCCCCATTTTCGGTTGAAGCATGAGGGATCAACAATGGCGGAAGCAACAATACGAGAATACGAGAGAGATATTTGAGCGAGACTAAGAGCAAAAAGAAGAATCAGTTGAGAAAATTGGAAGAAGATTTTGAACCATGACTTTTTGATGAAAAGAGAATTTGTTTCTCTGTTTCACGATGATGGAACCAATATGGACCACAAATTATCCCCTAATCCTTCTTTTAATCCCTTCTGATAATTTCTTTTTTTATTTATATAAATTAATAAATTAATAACAAAAAGCTTAATAAAAAGTGTGGGTTGGATTGGACTCAGCTAAGAGACCCTTTGGGCCTTGCCTTGCGTTTTTATCCTAGGCCTATTCCTTGCATTTTTTTTGTACAACACCATTTTCCATACAACAAATTTGCTTGTTGGACTCTTCTGATTTGGGCCTCGGGCCTACTTCTCTTCACCCTCCTTGAAATCAGTTTGCATCCCCCTCGAGCTTCTCTTTTTTTTATTAATATTGGTTATTTGTTTTGTTTGATTTAATTTCTCAACATGATAAAAAAAATATAAAATAAATATTAGAATATATTTTAATCTTCCTTTATTTCGATGATTGTTTGCTTGTGTGATATTGCCATGACCCCTTAGGTGATTTTAGTTCAAATTTAATCATTGATTAAATTGAATTAATTAGACCTTCAGTATTTAATCCAAGCATGATAACTTTAGGATATAATTTCCCTTTTACATTCGGTATTAGGTCTACCTTTGTATATAACAACCATTAGGATTTTTTTCTAGTTTCCCCCTTAACCGTTCTCTTTTGTAATTAAAACTTAACTGTCACAAATCAAAAATCGAAAACACCTTTAATCATTACTTGAATTTCTTTTAAAACTCGCAAAAACACTCAACCAATCAAAACTCCCCGAAAGGGCATGTTATCTTTGTTCTACCGCGATACTGGCCGTGCCTGTTGCTAGAATACGTGCGTTAACATCTCCCACTAAAAAACACAAACAAACCAATCATTTTCTAGAGGAACTACGGTGTTCTAATTCCTTCATTAGATACGTAGGCAAAGGGTCGCGAAACCCTCACGAACACAATAATAAAAAACCATTCATTTCCCCTTAAGCAAATATAGTTGTAGATAAATACACCCTTTAAGAACAAACAAACAAAATGGATCTTATTCAGTACAACGGATGCGAGGGGTGCTAATACCTTCCCCTCGCGTAACCGACTCCCCTACCCTTTCTCTTGGTCGCAAGACCATCTTATCCATTTCCTTGTGGTTTTATCGATATTTCCCCTTCCTTCGGAATAAATAAATTTCGGTGGCGGCTCTGTGTTTTCTGCCGGTGGCTTCAGCTGGCGACTCTGCTGGGGAATTTTGCGAGTCTCTCCTAGTTTTTTTTATTTGTCTTTTTGGGTGTTTATTTATTTGCTTTATTTTTCTTTATTGTTTTATTATTGCCTTATTCTTTTGTATATATTGCATATGTTGTTGCTACTCACATATTCTGGATACATTGTGATGTTGGGTTTAGTGATTACTTTTGATAAGTCCTATACCCGGACTTGGGTTACACATAGGATTAGGACGGGCGGTATAGTCATGTTAACTTTGAGGGAGTAATCCCAAAGAAGGAGGCATGAAAATCCCCCACTCAGTGGAGGTCCCTTTGAAAGTAGTGACGTTTACCGAGTAATCGAGAAGACGTCGTTGCTTTTGACCTGGGAACTCGAGAAGCCGAGGGCCGTAGAACCATTAACCCATCCTGGCCATAGAACCATTCGGACTAGTTTTTCCTGTGAATATTACTGATTACCAAGTAATTGGGACGTCAATAATATCCAAAGGAAGAGCGTAGACTTCGAGAACTCTTTAGAACCTTGTTCGGCAGGTGATAAACCCCTAGTACATACCTCATGGGTGGTTACTTTGGCTCCATGCCTGTGACATCAGACTTTTGATCCTGTTACTTTCAGCCTGTGCAACGGACTACGCAATGGTTATCCAGAATATGTGGAGCTGAGACTTCATGCCATAGCATACCATGACATCATATCATCATGTATATATATATATATATATATATATATATATATATATATATATATATATATATATATATATATATATATATATATATATATATATATATATATATATATATATATATATATATATATATATATATATATATATATATATATATATATATATATATATATATATATATATATATATATATATATATATATATATATATATATATATATATATATATATATATATATATATATATATATATATATATATATCATATCTAGGGGAATCCAAAGACAAGTCTCGTTGATGTAGCTTTTCAAAAAAAAAAGGGGAAAGGAAAATTTTAAAAGATAGACGAGTCTTTGGGTTTTCTCGGAAATGAAGATAAAACATTCATCCATACTACCATGCATTTATTTTTCACAACAAAAACTTATTGGGGTCCCTTTTCACCGACTACAGTAAACAGCAAAGACGACTTCTCCACATCCTTACCGTACCAGAGGCAACCAACAAAGGCTAATGGATCTTTTCGAAGAGAACCAGAATGCACTCCGCCGGGATATGGACACCATGGGTACTCGCATGGATTAACTTATGGAAACCCTTCATGCCGTGATCAAGGGTCAAGAAGAACTACATCAAAATGTTGCCAAGCTTACTACTGCCGCACCCTCTACTTCTGCTAATGGGAGGAATGACAATGCAAATGTTGAGACTCCTACCGGCGCTCCTAGGAATGATGTCGACGATCATCATGATGTTATTGACCTTGATGAACCCCAAGTGAACCTTGCTGCCGGAGTTGCCAAAATTGTGAAAATGTATCATGCTCTCGAAGAGCGACTTAGAGCCATGGAGGGTATCAAGGCTTCCAAATTCAATACTGCTGCAATGTGCCTCGTGCCTGGGGTAGTTATTCCTCCCAAGTTCAAAGTCCCAGATTTTGACAAATACAAAGGCACTTCTTGCCCAGAGACTCATCTCCGTTCCTATTGTCGCAAAATGGCTGCTGTTGTACCCCAAAATTTTCCCTCTCAATCATCAAGGCCTTTCTCACAAGGATTCTCAAGGTTCAAGCTTGCACAAGTACTTTGGAATTTTCCAGTACCAAAATTAAAAGGAAACTGTCAAAAAGGGAGAAAACAGATAAAAATATTATTTTGACAAAAAATGGAGAAATACAAGTGTTCTTCGTTTTAGCTCTTTCGATTGGCCTTTAGGCCTCTTTCGATCAGCATCCTTCGATTGACTCTTGGCCTCCTTTGATTGCTCAAAATGGATGCTAGCGTGCCTCCTTCGCATGGGCGTGTGACTTCTTGTTGCAGGCTTCGTTTGTGACTTTTGCTGCCTACATTGCTTGCCTTGAAAACCATGTTTGCTGGCCACAAGTGCCCCCTGCAAGGCAAAAACCCTCTTGATGATGTCCTTCGATCCAGGAGGAAAAAGCCTCTCTTTTGCCCTCTTTCGAACCTGGATATTTTGCCTCCTGCATGCCTCTTTCGAATCTGGACATTTTTCCTCATGTATGCCTCTTTTGAATTTGGACATTTTGCCTCATGTATGCCTCTTTCGAATCTGGACATTTTGCCTCTTGCATGCCTCTTTCGAATCTGGACATTTTGCCTCCTGCATGCCTCTTTCATTTGGGCATGTGGCTCCCTTCATGCAAGTCTTTATTTGAGCATTGACCTTTTGTGTGCTTGCTTGGAGTCACAAAGTTTAGACCTTCTCCATGCAGGCTTCGACAAGACATTGACTATGTTTGTACTAGCTTCGACTGGACAACATTTCTCTTTAGTATGCTGCATTTCCATCCTTGACAAACTTCAGCACATGGTTGATGGCCCCCTCAAAAGACATATAGTGGTGGACTTGAGGGGCATACATATGAGTCCCTGTCGAAGGGTACGCCTTACTAGTCCATTCGAAGCCCACATTTGGCCCCTTCAAATGATGCACAAAGATGATTCGTTCGAAGGACACTTGTTGGAGGAAAGTCAAACAATGTGTTGGAAGAAGAATCTGGTCGAAGGAGGGTCAAAATGAAAGGATAAAATATTCAAAGATGCTTGCTGCCAAGTTCAGACATGGTACACTGGCCAAAACTGCTGCATAGCAATCCTGAAACACTGCCCCATTGTTGCACCGAAATAGCATACAAGCACTGCCCCTCGAAGGCCGCAAAGAGCAGTTTACCCAAATTGTTCAAAGTATTTTGTTTTCCCTCCAAAATCTTCAGCCAACTTTGCCTATAAATAAGAGGCTCCAACACATGTTTAAGAGAGGATCTTGGGACTAGAGGAACGAATCCCCTAAATTTTCTCAAACACAGAAAAACTCTCAAGTTCATCAACACTTGAGAAATCAAAACCCAGAATACCAAACACTTACTTCCTTCGATTCTAAAGAACAAATACTCTTCAGTATCCTTTGAATCCAGTTTGGAAAGAAACATAAAACTTGTTTCTTTCCTTCCTTCAAATCCAGAATCCTGGGCCTCCACTCAAGGTCCCACATCCATTCAAGGCCTGAAGTAAGGTAAGTTATTCTTACCTTTGAACTTTTCGTTTCATAACATGTAAATACAATTCCTTTTCGTTTGAAACATTGTACATACCATTGTTCCTTTCGTTTCCACATTTTTAACATATTTTTCAGAACTAGCCTTTTCGTTTTGCTTTCTGTTTACCT